TACTACTACTACTACCACTACTGCTCAACATTGACACCTCAACCGTGACAGTCTTGTGATTATGCGCGAAGATTTTCTCAGCACCATCTGAAGAAAGATGTCTACTATAGCAGAGATGCGCATAAGGCCCGACCCAGAGCCTTGCTTCGTCCCTGCAACCCAGAAAAACACCCATTGGGCAAGCAATGCACATGAAATCAGACTCAGGAGCTCTCCCAAATTTCAGGAATGTCCTTCATATGTCAGTCATGTAAGTGGCAGACACCGCTGGTAAAAACTCTTGGCTTAAGGAATTTTAAGTAGTGGGAAACCCTCACAAACCCCTATTGTTTAAGGAATGTTTCGCATTTACAGAGTACCGGGCCGGACTACCAAAAGGATCGGGGGACTCAGTGTTTGCATATAAGGCAGAGGGGTTCAGGATCATGGGACTTAGTAGGTTTACAAGCAGTGTTATACATACCAATCCTTGGGTTGTCCTTGTTCGAAGTTTACTTTTAGCCTACTTGCCACGTCCCCGGAGCTTCTAAGTTGCTCTGAGCCCTGTTTGCCCCCCCAACTTCTGGGTGGCATGCCGGAAAACTTTTGAGTGCCCTTATAGTCGTTTAGAAGTACCTACTCCCACATAATGGTGGTTTCCGCAACAGACCCAGTTAATAAGCTTTACTAAAATCCTAGAACCCAAGTTCAACAGGAGGATTTTCGACACTTCCTTGCAGATGTCGCCCATCAGACAGTGGCTGCGATTCAGGCCCGCCGTTTCGAGCTTGAGATTGTCTGTCAGACTACTGTTGATGATATAAATCTTGCACTACTTTATGGTCCCTAAACGCATGGAATCATGGCAAAATCCTTACTTTATTTGTACCATCAGCCGTAGTATTCTGTTTTGATATCCGACAAGGAAGGAATTGCACAAAAAGCATCCTAAGCCCTAAACCCTCTGTTTTACACTCCAATGCTGTGAAGCTGTGCGTAGGGCTGCGAGTTCAGCGAGCCTCAGGTTCAGGTTTTAGCATTTTAGTCCTTAGGGTTTTAGGGTTTAAAGGGTTTGGCGTTCAGGGTTCTAGAGGTTGGGATCGAGGCTAAAACTATCTATGAACAAGTAGTCTTGCGTTGTCCGATTTTAGGATCCGGAAGTTTGGGAAAATTGAGTTAAGCACAGAAACCCTTTTGATTCCTTCTGCAAGGGTTGCGTGCAGGCTCACAACAGGGTTTTGGCGTATAGTATACAAAACTATACGGGGGCTACAACGGAACATGATTTCTACTTGCAGCACAGGACCCCAACTCCTCTAGCCGTCCAGCAAAGGCAAAGTGGAGTTCGTTCACCTGCAGCGCAAAAACCCTACCCTGTCAAGGGGGCTATGTAACAAAGTCAGAACAAGGAACCCTGAACACATAGATTTGTTGGGCTGGAGGTTGGGATTTCCCAGTTCCGGGTCCCGAAACTCGAAATCCTAGACGTTGAGCATTGCTCTGAAAGCATTTGCTTGGGTAATTAGAGAAGGGAGCGCTTGTTTGCATCTCTTTATGCTATGCGCTGGAGTTCAGAACCCTAAAATTGCCATAAAACCCTAAACCGCCAAAGAGTTGCGAGAGCGTAAACCGCAAAAGCCGTAGGCCTTAACCAAGAACATCGTCTCGAGCCCAGGCATCAGTGAGGGCTAAGCGGTCCTGGGCTGTCTTCTATGCTAAGCGTCTATTGTAGCACCTTTTCGGTCGCTAGGTGCCCAGAGAGCCGGATAACCTTTAAATAAGGAGTCTACCTCAAACTAGAAAGGGCCTCATCTCATGATTTATAGCATGTTCCTTGATTTACATGTATTGGGTTCTGTGGGCAGTCTTGAAGCCCCAAGCCGTAAACCCTATGTACAACTCCGAGTTGCGAGAGCGTAAAGCCTA